GGACCGTCCCTTGCTAGACCCGCTGATACCTTCTTTTTCAAGCATAACTGTAGCCGTTCTCTTCTCGGCAGGAAGACGGCACGGGTTGGGACAAGGACTTCGCTACCAGCACGTAGCCAAGGCTGCTGGGTGGACTCAGAGAGCGCTCTAGACATCCGAAACCAAACAGCTCATAGCTGCTGAGCGTGGAAGAGGGCAAGTGTACCCGGAGGCCGACATCATCTCTGCTGTTCTTCGTTACGTTGATCACCAACGTGTGACCCAGTCTTCGGCAGCCTTCCTTGCTCAGACATTAGATTCGTTGCCCCATACCCAAGTGCAGCGCAGCCAAAAGCAAGGTAGCACGGTCATAGGCAGCTGCCAGCAGATGTTGCGAGTAGCTCGTCCCACCGGAAATCGCAGCAGCGGTGGGTTCATTTAGCGGTCCCTTCCACAGCAAAGCTGTACAAGGTGAGGGCCTGAGGAGCAATTTATCCTTGCCATTCTCCGTTGAGTGTTTTTTTCATTTATGTGGAACATCCTTTCGCGCCACGTGGAACGAATGCAAGTCTATGTTGCTTGCCTCCCCTTTGCCTGGCACTCTGCGAGAGTGCGCAGATGGGAAGCATGCAGATCCCACAGCCGCTTGCTAAAATGCAGCGCAGGGCATGTTTCACTCAAGCCGCATCCCCATTCTTTTTATCCACTGGTGGAACACCTCCACCGCACCAGCAATGCCTCAATAAGCTGCAGACTGCCTGAGAGCGTGGCAATGGCCTTTGAAAGACGAGCGCCGTGCGGCAAAGGCAAAGGAGACGAAAAATTAATTTCAATATTTATTATTATTGGGAGATATTCAAATTCGCCTTTGAAATACAGATCTCGATCCAGAAATTTAAGATAAATCTTTGAATTTTGATCGAAATACTTCTATTCATTCTATATAATTTATACAAAATTGCGGCCTTCTTCCGTCTTCTATTTGCCCGCGTTTTCCTGGACCGACCTTCCAAAATATTCTCGGATTTTTGGAAGATCGGTCTCTGCTGAATATAATGAATTTAGCGCGCTCGGATTATATTGTAAAGAATCTGAGATTTTCGTATCGTTACCGTCTAAGTATAAAGTCGTCGTAGCTATTATAGAAAATAAGCTGCTAGTCGATCGTATAGCTATTAAGTAGTCTTGGATTACTAGCTCGATTTGAATAGATTCATTTATTGGGGAGGGGGGAGGGGGGGGCCGTCGGGGGGAAAGCTGGGAGTGGGGGAGGGGGAGCATGAAGGAGCTGGAGGTTGGTATTGGCGGTCGTGCGTCGATATGTAGGTGCCGGCGGCTATGAGGCCGGGAGGGCGATCCTGGGGGGGGGGGTTGCTTATTATTATGAATGATGATGAGGATGATAATGATAGATAATATTCGGGAGCAGCGCATAAAAGGATCATAGTTAGTCGAATTTAGGGGCGGAAATCGAAGCTCGTGATAAGGAGAGGAGGCTGGCGAATTTGAAAAAATAGAATTGATAATTTAATATAAGGATAGAATCTAATTCATTCATAGAAAAAAATTCAGATCTGAATTTGATATATTGAAGAAATAATTCTGAATATTCGAAATGAATTTTTCTTTATTAATATATTTCTATTCGGATTATTTGATTTTAGATTTCGTTATTGATTATTTCTCTAATTTGGAGATGATTATGATATTTTTCTGATGAGAAATATAAAATTATTGAAAATGTACAGAAATATATTGAAATCTTTCTCTCTATTATTTTAGAATTTTTTATTTATATGATGCGTGGTTTTTATCGGTCGTAGGAGATATGAAAAGGATAGATATTGGCTTCGTGATATAGGATTTTGATTGGAAAACGAAACTATACTCCTAAAAATGATAATGATATTATATATGCCGAAAATTGGAAAACGATATTATATGCTGCAATTTTCTATAGAGCAATTACCCAGATTTCGAATGATTACCGTGCATTGAATAATTTTTTCTGAATCGTTTTTCAAGAGAAATTCTTTTAAACTATTTTTTTCTATCAATCATATTTGACGATTTTTCATTTTTAACTAATGAAATTATGGTAATATAAATAGAATCATCGATTTTTCATGAAAATATTATTCTCTGATTATCTCAATCTCAAGAATATAAATTCGAATCTGAATTTAAAGAATTGAATCATAAAATCTAAAAGATATTATCTTTTTTAGATGAGAATTTAAATCATTTCTTCTTGAACGAATTCTAATATTTCAAATTAAAACCGATATTATATTAAGATATTTATTCGAAATTTCTCTTCTATATATTTCTATATTATTATTGATACGAGATTTGGAATTCTTTCCGTCATTTATCAAATATATATCTCGATTATTATATTTTTCGATGATACGATTATACGATAATGATTGGAATTCTCTTCTTGATAATCTATGATTATTTTGAAAATAAAATCTCGTTATAAATAAAATCTTCCTATGAATTATTGAAAATGAGATGATGAATATATTATCTATAATATTCTCGGATAATTATTGAGATTGATATCTCTTTTCTATTTCAATTTGCAATCTTGAACGAGATATCTTCAGAATCTTTCATATAGATATTGATATGAAAGATCTTTGAGAGATCGTTATGCTCTTATCAATTTGGGAATGAAATTATGATATTTGAGAAAACGAGAGGTCTTGAAAATGGAGACGATTTTTCTTTGAAGATTATCTCTATGACAATCTATGAATATTCGTATTATTGAGAAGAGGATTCCTATAAAGCTTATATAGGATTCTTGAATTTTAATTCATATAGGAATATATATATGATAATAGAAATCTATGATAGAATCTAATTATATTTCTTCTCGGATCCTTAATCGAATAATTCTTAAATCTATATATCGGATGAATCAGGAGGATATCTATTGAGAATCTCATATAATAATGACGGATCCAATACACCTGGACGCCTGAAATCGGCGTCGCCTCCGAATCCATGAATCTTCGCCTTAAGCCTTGAAATTTAAACGTTCTTATACGAATTGAGGTCCGTCTAGCGCCGCTGGCACGTGCATATTTCAAATCCTCATCTCATTATATTCGTCTTCTCTCTTTTATTTGCGAATTTCTGAATCTCTGGATCTTTCGGGCGGCGCTGATTTTCAATATATGACCTGGGACTTGGAATTCTATTATTGATAGAGGAAATCCCTAAAATCCTTAGATTCATTATTATTCAGGATTCCTTGATAATATAAGATTTCATCTATCAATAATATATCTATTAATATTTCTTTCATTCGACGTCTTTCAATTTCATAATCATGCAAAGGATTTTATTTATCCTTTCTTCTCGCCAAGATCTATCATATATCGATTTGCGAATCTATATATTCAATGAATTCTCGAATTTATCAGTTTTTTCATTAATCATATATCAATATATTATTTTAATGATAGATATATATCTATATCTATCTATATCTATCTATCGTTGAATTTGTCGATTTCTCATATAGAATTTTTATCTCAAGAAAAATGCGGTTATTGGCGGTCGAAATTCTCATGAGATATAATTTCATTGTTTCTCTTTTAAGATATCTCTCACGGAATTCTGATATTCCGAATAAATTGGAAAAATTAACGATTCTGATTTCATATATCCGGAGGCAAGATCAAAAAAAATCAGAAATTTTTATTTGCGCGCGCCTCTTCTCGCCGCCCTCTCTTCGCCTCATTTATTTCTTTCTGATTATCGGCGTGACGATTTGGATTATCAAATAGATCGTATTCCGTATATTTTGGAGCTCTGAAATCAGAAATCTCCATAGATAGCATGGCGGACCTAAATCTCGAAGCTTCTGGATTTTCGCCCATATTTCTGACGACCATTTTATGAATCGGAATGATAATCAATCAATCAGGGATTCGATCTGTCAATCTCTTCCTATTTCGGTCCGTCGTCCTGATGATCTATTAGTCTCATGATCTGACGATCTATGAATCTATCAATAGATTTGATAATTTTTTGATCTGATCGTCTATCTTCTATCAAAGCTATCGAGCTCTCATTCTATCGATCTAATATTCTCTGAAATCTATATGTCTATCTATCCGTCGTCGATCTTTCAATCGATCAATCTATCTATCAAATCATCTGAAAAGGAAAATCCGTCGATATTGCAATCTATCAATATATCAATCAATCAATCTATCGTTGAGATTGTCGTTATCGATCTATCATTTTATTCGTGCGTCTGCGTCAATTTATTGATTTATTCATTTTTCTATCGCTGAATCTGACGAATTCGCATTTCTGGATTATAATATATATCGATCTATCAAAGTTAACGATCTATCATTCTCTGACGTTATCATATATATTATCTATAGGATCTGTCAATTGGTCGATTTCTGAATCGATCGTCTTATCTTGATATAAATAACGAATCATTTTTCATTCCTTAAATAGAATCATATTATTATTTATCGATATCTCATTTGAGCGAGATATTCCCGATTCTCCATTAGAATATCGCCTAGATATTTCCTCGGAATTCCTAAATTCCCGATAATTTATGTTTCTAGGATGAAAATTATCTCAAGATAAAATTTTTCCTTCATATTTTCAATATCGTCATTTAGCGAGACGTTCATGGCGAAATGATTTGAAGAAAATAATTCAAATCAATTCATATAATTCGAATTTCGAATAGGAAATCGAGATATTCTCCGAAATGAAATAGACGAGAAAGAAACTATCGAATGAGAAAATTAATAAATAGAAGATCAGGAATTCTGAAGATAATTCATTTATATAAATCGTCGATATTTTTTGATTTTGATATATCATTCGCATATTCGGAATTATTCGTAATATTCGGATCGAGAATCTATCTTGATAAGAGAGAGATATCTCGCAATTATCATTTATTGATAGAATTGGATCCCATTCATTCAGATAGATCCTTTCATATCATCCTGATGATATTTCTATATGATCATATGAATATATCTCTGAAATTCGATAGAATTTTGGATATATAAATCTTCTTTTCAAGATCCCTATGATCAAAAAGATCAATAATTTTGGATCATCTCGATTCAATTTTGCCGAGATTTCTAAAATAATCGATTCGGATCCCAAATTCGAAGAATGACAATAATCTATATAATATCGGAAATGAAATTTAGATGAAATTCATCGATCAGAAGCGATCTATTCATTCTCAGAATATTAGAAAAAGAGATGGCAAGAAATAGAAAATCGATTATGAATTCGGAAATTCAAGTAGACAATTTCTAATATGAAGAATATATGATAGATAGGAATATGATTATTCATTTTTCCAGAGATCTCAAGAGAGGATTTGAAAGAAAAAGATTAATCAATTCGGATCCGATTCTATATAAGATTAAATCGGATTCTCCATTCATCGTATCTTTGATAATAATATGATCAAATCTTATTCTCAATTATTTCCCGAAAATGCCGATCTCAATTGAATAATATCAATAAATATCTATTTTAGAGGAAGATCTAGGAGATAAGAAATCTAATTTTCTATTGGATAATCTGAATATATGAATGAATCCGATCAAGAAGATATTCAAGAAGATATCTGATTGGAAAATGAAATCGAAATTCATATCAAAAAATATCATCATAGATTTTTCTTAATATAATATTTTAATATCTTCTCGAAATATCGTGATCAAATATGAAATATATGAAAAGAGATATTCTAAAATATTATATTCGTAAAATTCTTAAATATATCAAAATATCTGAGATAAATCCTCGTCATATAGGGATTTGGAGAATCTTGAGAGAATATATATGAGATGAAATAAATTGATTTCCGATATCTTTGGATAAACCTCTCTATATTTGAATTCTCACTAGAAATTATCAAATATTTTCTGAGAATAAGATAGATGATATATTTCAATTCCTCATGAAAAGAATCGAATAAGATTAGATATGATCTTATAAGAAAAAGATATATGAATCTTAGATTCGATTAAGAGAAATCATTAGATAGAAGAAATATAGGATCGAGATCTCAATCAGAGAATATATTTCGCATATTTCATATATTCTATCCGAAATCCTTGCATTGCATTCTTCGGAAAAATAGAGATTGGAAAATTTCAGATAATTTTGATCTGAGAAAGAGAGATCAATAATCTCATAGATCTTATTTACATATCCTTTCTAATCTATCTTCTCTCCATTTCATTTATCTGCAGAATAATTCGATCATCGATATAATATCTTTAATTATTTCTTCGGAGCTCTCAATATATTCATTTCCGAAGATAGATACGAAAGATCTCAATTCTTGAAATTTATGAATTTCTTCCTTCGAATTTTTTTCTGATGAATATTTTATCCCATTTCTATATGATGATTTGATAATTATCATTCGATCAATATATCATATGATATGATGATTTTCTTTTGAAAATCCCAAATCTAAAATCATTATGATATATATAAGAAATTTATTATGATCTTTTTATAAGAATATGATAAATGGAAATTATAAAGATATATATTACGAGATGCGAGATTATTAAGATAGAATATGAGAAGATCATCAAAATATTCATTATTTTAAAGATATTGGAGATTTAGGAATTCTAGAGATCTATTATCATAAGAATATAGAAATATTCTAGATTGATCTCCAAAAAATTTTCTCACTATCGGATAATTGGGAAATTCAGAATATTCTATATAGATTCTTGATCATTATCAAGATATTTTGATATTATTGATCATTATAGGGATATCTCTTGATTAGATATTCCAGAGATATTATATGCGGAGATATTACGGAAATAATCTCTTTTTTTTTCGAATCCAAAGATATTCTATAATCATTCATTATAGGGATAGATTTTCATTGAATATTATGAAGATATTTGATAATTAGGCAATATAGAGATATATTATGATTAGAAATTATAAAAATATTCATCGAATAGATATTATAGAGATATTCTGGGATTAGATATTGTCAAATAATCTGCGGATAGATATTATAATGATATTCTGAGATTGCGCAATATAAAGATATGATATTCAATGAATAAATAAGATATAGATATTTTATATTCATCAAATTTCAGGGATGAATTGAAACCAAGAATTATAAGGATATTCCCGATTGAATTTTAGAATCAAATTTCATATAGACGATATAAATAATGAAGATCATTAATATCTAATATTATGAAAATGAAAATAAATTTTCGAAGATTTTAGATTTCTCTCTTCAAAATTATCTCTGATAGAAATATTATAAGATTACGATATTATGATATAAATATTATGCTTCTATCGATATAGCATAAAATGAGATTTATCTCGATAAGAGAAATTCATTTATATAACGATCATCTATGATTAATTAGAATATATTGAAATAAAGATACTTCAAATCATCTACCAGAATTGATCTGATGATATATGAATTCATCTATTTTATCTTCATTTTATCATGAATCTCTGATATATCTAATCTCATAATCTAGCGGATTCTCGATAATTCGGAATGACGATCAATCAATCAATATTCCAATCTATGAATCTCTCTTTCTTTAATAATATCTTTCTGAATATCTATCAATTTCGAAATATATCGAATGATAATTATCTCAATCAATCTATATAATTTGCAGATCAATTTATCTTCTGCAGATTCTATCAATCTCTCATCCTATCGACCTAAAATTTTTTCTTTCATTTAATCATCCTATCTATCAAAGTTCCTAAAAATGAAAATCTATCGATACATTAATTATTAATCCTTCATTCAAATTATCTAGGAGATTCTTAAATTTATCAATATACCTTCATATCGATTTTTAATCTATCATCTTCATAAGCTCTAGATTTTAATCTATCTCTCTATTTATCCAATCAATTTATCCGTATATCTACCATCTACAAAATTTCTCTTTCTATCTAATAATGAATCGAATCATCAATCTAATAATCTATAATTCTGAGAGCTTATCGCCTTCGTCATCTATTGGGAATATCAATCAATCGAATAATATATATGATATATAAAAAGATCCAAATCTAAATTCGAAAAAATCAGATAATCTTATAGTTCCTTTTTTCTATTTCTATCGAGATGAAGAAGAAAATTAATCTGAATTCTCAGATAATCTTATATTTCTAGAATTCGATATATGAGGCGGCATCGCAATTATTTGTTATTTATTTAATCTTCCTTGGTTTCCGAAGTAGGATTTCCCCTATCAATTTCCATATTTTAGAGATCTCCTCGCAAGCCTAGTTTAAATGAAATAAGCTTATAATTTAAAGATAATCCCTATCGATCTTGGAGATTTTTACGTAACAATTACCTCCTAGATTAAATGAAGGTAATAATAATTTTGACCGCGACTCATATAAATATTTCATTTCGAAGGTCCTCCAGAAAATCTCAAATTTCGAAATAATTTGAAATTTTCATTCCGAAGAAACGATTCCAAAATCGAATCTTTAGAAATTATCAATCATATATTTTCTTTCTGAAAATCGACCAAATGAAAAGATAAATCAATTAGATCATATATCAATTACGTATAAAATATAAATCTATAAGTTCTTCTCGATTATATTTCCTTTTCATAATTCAGAGAGATTTCTGAAATATTATTTCAAAATTATTTATATATATCTTTAATATCGATTTTCGAATATTTATATACGATCTTATATAAGAAAAAATATTTATATATTTTTAATTCGTAATATTCTTAATAAACGATTTATTTTTTCGGGTCCTTCCAAATTTTCTATTCATTTCTTTATAATTCTTTAGGCAGCGTATATATACAACCCGCCAATAAAGATCCTGTAGATGGGAAGGCTAAGTATATCTAGTAGATGATTCACGGCCAAATATTCCCCAAAAATTTACCCCAGAAATATCCTTCTTTAATATCAATTCAAATCGAAATATCTATCGCATATTGATTAAAATCAATTTCTATTCTTTTCGGTCACTACTCTTCCGGCCAAGACGCGAGGACGTTCTGGCGTATCTCCGCCTTTTTTACAGGAAATTCCAGTATTGACAGAATTGGATTTTGGTGTCTTGAAGTATTCCCAGCCGACCTCGATTGCCCCTGATGACCACCAAGATAGCTCCGTGGGATCTGTGGGCTCCAGGGCCTGCAAAGCTTGAAGCCATTTGAAACTTGTGCTGATAACTTTCATAGCTGCATACTGTTGTTTGCCGCCTTCAGCAGTTTGTTCCGTTTACGGCCGCTGCCGCCAATCTCCCATTGCCGTTGTTCTGTGTTTGTGTTGTGCCTTGCTTGTGGCAATTTGTCCGGCCATACGGTGCCATCTACAAGTCTCTGAAACCCACCACAACCGAGGACAAGCGAAAAACCTCACCCCCAAACCCTCGTAAGCCCAACTTCCAAACGCTGACCCTGAAGCCTACACCCTGAGGTCCTCACCCCTAAGCCCCCACTCTCCAACCAAATCAGTCTTGCAGCCTTAACCTTGAAACTTTCGACCGACAAAAGGCCATTGGGGTGGCTGTGGCTGTGGGGGTGGTTTAGAGAACTCGGCTTTTGCCTTGGAAAAAGCAGCATCTGCCTGGACGCACCGTGTGCTCTGCCTGGCCTGGCCCTGGTCTATGAGGCGGCGCCACAGGTCGTCCGCGTGTTTTTCCATGCCTGCTTCCTCAGCTCAAAAGAAAAAGGATGGGCAGAATGGGGGAAAAGGACGTGCAACGCAACGATCGGCCCAAGCCGGAACCGTCGTTCGCTGGGTAGGCTTCACGCTCGAAGATAATGGTCTGGGATTTCCAGCCGATCATACCTTGGGCAACAGCGTACGCAGGCTTCAGTAGGCAAGCTATGCAACTGTATCTGACTCTTCTGCACGTCCTGCTCTCTTGACTTAAGTGCTCGCCACTCAGTCACCTGACTTAGGGCTTTCCGCATCCTCTCTTTGCTCAGTTGAGCAACGCAGAACACATGATGAAGCAACTAGCGCGTGCAACTACAAGCTCACGAGAAAGGCAGAATGCTGAGAGGCCACAAGAACAGCACTACCATCATCTCAGCGTGCGCGACATCACTCTTGAGGCTGCGGCTCGAAGCGCAAGCCTAACGGCTTCTGGCCTGTGCAAGGTTTTAATTGCTGAGATACCGGTGTCACATAGTTTGGGACACAGAAGGCACGCCTGACGCAGCCTTTAACAAGCATAGCATTTGTGTAATCATGCAGCACCTTGGAGGCGTGTCTCTGGGCCAGGTATGCGCTCGCCAGGGCGCACAACCCAGAGCTCTTCGGCAATCTGCGACGGAATCAGGAAGCGATCAAGGATGGCAACACCATGCAGTACAGTTGCTGTCCGCAGGAACTTCAGGAGCCTCCCAGTGCTTCCTGGGCTTCGTGTGGTGGACAAGGTCCTTCAAACGAGTCCTTGGAACACCATCTGCTCAAGCACTGGGACGTTTCAAAGGGTAAGGCGCCACGCAATATCTGGGGCCGATGCATTTGCAGCAAGCGCTGCTGCCTGCCGGTGAGGAAATCGAGCGCCTGGAAAGCGTACGAGCACGATGCTTGCGGGCTTCTGATCTTGATCCGAGGGAAGCCCGAGTTGTCGTGACAATGACACAGCTCACACATCTCGCTGCACAACTTGACCCGTCACATTCCGTGGGCCTCATCATTCAAGAAGAAGCCCAAGGGACCTCCAAGGTAATCACCATTTGCAGTTTGCTCCAGGCTACCAGCGCTGACTGGAACGTCATGCTCCAGCCTCGACCATCTAACTCCAAAGCATGCCGCGCTTGTGCGGCAACCTGCGATGGCAAGAAAACGCGCAAACAGCAAACAGCTAATGGCGCTGCTAAGAAACCCCTTCAGCACCAAGAGCCTTCGATGCCCGAAGCTGGGCTTCCTGTGGGGAGCCAGCCTGAAAACGCTGCGTGCGAATAAGTATGTGGTTCAATACAAGTCCACATGCGTTATGAAGTTGTCAGTGTTTGAATGCTCGGACAACTGCAGGTTGCGGGTGCTGCTAAGGAAGCAAAGCAAGGACAGGCTGCAGGGCACACAGAATAAAGAAACAATCGACAAGCCTTTCGTTCTTCCAAGCCCATTCGAATGTCAGCGGCCAAGCCTCAGCATCAAAAGCTAGCTAGGGTCAGCGAGGGCCAAGGGCCGATAGGGGCCATCTCGCACGTACGATGTGGATGCCTGATGAACTGAAGATCGTGAACGAGAACAGAAACACAAAGCACCCATGCGCCTAATCTGAGCTGGTTGCTTTCTCGGTTGTTCTCAATATCTGACGCGTCAGCTGCCTGACAGCAAAAAATATTGCGGCAATGTCTGGTGGGTGTCCTTGAATGCAATAGAACCTGGTGCAAATGTTCAGCATGCAAGGCTGCGTTGACCTTCCCCAGACCTGAGACAGCTTGGCTCCAGGCCGCCAGTAGCACGGCTCCGGCCCGCTCCAACCAAGTCGTGACCTTGTAAAAAGTGCACTCAAGCCCCGACTCCGATGGAGCGGGTACGAGCTCATGAAGCCTTGTTTTTTGGCCTGCAGTTTGGTTTTGGCTTGTGCATACGGCACAATGCCAGCAAGGCGGTGACAGACAGTAGATTCGACCCTGCCCAGGCTTCCTGACAGCAGAACCGAATCATTCGGACCAATTGCTTGCAAACCAGAACTAGCAAAGCCGAGGAAAAATCCTGGAGGGAAGATGACATAGCTCCAAGGTCAGATTTGCAAAAGTGACGTCACCAAGGTGTCAGAAGTGAAAAACTCCTGCGTGCACCTTTGAAGATGTCTTGAGAAACTTTGTGTAACATGCAGCACTGCGCAACCAAGTAAGAGCGAGCACGCATCGCCAGTCAGAAGACATCGGAGCTTGGGAGGCCGCGGGACCCAAGCGATCCGTGTCCATTATGGCCAGGATCACCTGAAAATCTAACCCAAAACGTTGCCTCTCATGTCTATGATGGATTTGCAGATGCTTCGTCATTCGAAAAGGCTGCCCGTAGAGTCTTCAAATTCTATGAAAGCTACATCCGAAAACTTGCCTTGTGCCCAGATGTGGCCATTGAAATGATGCCGCGCCTTACACTACGCGCAAGTGGCAAAGCAGGATTGACCCTCTCAAGCAGTCTATCAGCAGTGTCCCTGAGATCGTGGCGCCAATTGCTTCGCACGCGGAGAATGCGTCAGGTCCTCAGAAAGAAACTCTACCTTGCACACACAATTCTATCCGGAATCCCGGAAATGACAAACATCCACTTCAGTGTCGTTGTTCAGGGCAGCTGTCGTTCTCAATGCAACCGTATACACTCACGGCCCTAGCCGAAGACTGTTGTTTGCGATGCCCAGACCTTTACCACTACAACAGATCACAACGCACTGCTGCAGCTCCTCGTCGTATGTTTAGGTGGATTCCCTCTCGAAGTGTGTTCAGTTAGATTCCCTCTCAAATTGTGGAGGACTCCGAAACAGTAAGCCCTTAAAAGAATCAACTCAAGCTACACTATGTTTTATGGCGCTTTGAAGCCAGGACTTATGCTGAAAGGAGGTCTAATACAGTATATCATTCACTTGAACAACTTCAGAGCGTGGGGACGAAAGCTAGAGCTGTCTGGGACGTCGTTTGCGAGGACGTCTGCTCAAGTGTCCTTTGGAACCCTCACCCCATAGCATGGCCTCCAGGGGGGCATCCGTTTTGATATATGAATCTTAAAGGATCTTAAAGGGACACTTCCTTCCCCCGCGCAACATTAAACTGTTGATATATCAGACCCTAAAGCCAATTGCAGGGACGGCGACCCGGGCCGAGTGATTGGTGAATGACAACTAGCTACCGCAAAGCCCTCTTATGGGCATGGTCACTTTGAATCCCTGCCCGAGCAGTACTGTAAATTTCTGGAAGCGGCCTTCACGCGCGTTTCGTTGCCCTGCTCTTTCTGGATACGCTCCATGGTAGAGCTCCGCACATCTCCGAGGCCTTACGAAAATGCGTCCACCACAAACCAGACCGGAACTTGTGACGTGCACGACAACTCAGATCACCACAAAGCAGCTTCGGTAACGAACCAACTGGTTGGGACACCTTGGAGGGTCGCTGGCGACACCCGACAGCCTTCGAGCAACCACGCTTGGTCCGTGGCAAACTCTTTCACGGCCTCGGCGTAAGGTTCTCCCTTCGTCCAACGATTAAGTGCCTGAGCTTCCCATGAGAATGCACTGCACGCTTTAGCAGAAACGCTCCAGCCTCGCTGTCTCCATGGATGGTATCAATGTGGTGCTGCTCACCGTGAAGGCGATGAGGATTGGCTGACATACGGCTGTCACGCTGCTTATCTTGCGAAGCTCAGTGCATGTTTGTGTGGCTACCCTTCATTAGACTCCTGAGGTCTGTCCTTCAGTTGTCCGTCCATTGTTTCGTCTCAACAAAACACTCAACTGAACCCGCCGTTGCATGCTCTTGTCTTCAAAGCTCTTAGTCATCCTTGCCCGGGCAAGCAGCAAAAAATCGGTTCTCTGCGAAACAAGCCGATGTCACTTGTCGCAAATCCACGGGCATAGTTCTTGACAGCCTCTTTGTGCTCTCGGGGCCTGCAAGCAGTCGCAATGAAAAACTTCAAGACGCTTTGGAGCGGTCGCCTGCACACTTGCAACGCTTCTACCAAGGTGCTCCTTTGGCCTAGCCTAGGTATGCCTAAATGCGCTTCAGTAGCAGCACCAGTGCTGTGCGTGTTTGCGCTGCAGAGCCCCACAAAATGATGAAGAGGCACATGTCGTAGCAAGTCCAAACAAGATCAGCAGTGCACGGCTACCCGTTACAGTTGGCTTAGTTCTGGACATGATCAGCTGCTGGCCAATCTGGGCAGGGCTTCAGCATCAGCACACTGATTGTTGGTTGACAGCCGGTCGCTTCAAGATGATCCCCATTGAGAAAACCGCACCGAAGCTTAGGGCCATGCCCTCTCTCGGCAAAGCTCCACAAGCATTGCTGAGGGTTCAACCTGTCAGCAACATGCTGGAGGTCTACCATTCCCGTGTGCATTGTGGTCATGCTTCCAAACCGCTTCCAGGCTTCCAGTGCCGCGATTCGGGTAGGCCTCGTAAACGGCACGGCTTGCCAGGCGGGAGCTCCGAGTCGAAATGTCCAGGACGCCAATCCTAATCACGCTGGTTGGCTGACCCGGGTGGAATGCAGCGCATATCCGGCCTAGGGCCTAGGATTAAGCCTGAATGACTCACTGTTCCCCGCAGTTGGTACAAGTTGCATTCCGAAGAGAACTTGGGAAGGGGGCCGCCGACCCCACTTCGCGCAGAATCAAGAATTAGGCTTCATCTTGGACCGCATGCAGTTCCCCAAGCATCCATGTTGGACTAGAAAAACGTTCTTTTTGATCTGCATACAGTTCCGCGCAGCCAAGCTGCACACCACATTTTGGCATGTGCTAATTTTGAAAAATGGCTTGGAAGCCAGTGGAGCCCCAATTTTTGTAGTGTTCTTAGCAGAGCCGCATGTGCTGTAAGCGTGGCTGCCGTTACGCACAACATGACGACCATGCAACGAAAGTCTGGGCGCCCAAGGGATGCCTGGGAAATCTCAGAGGTGTACGGACTGTAGGCAGACGGTCTGTGGCAATGTCATGTTCCAGTCTTTGCAAGCAGTCATGTCTGATCACATGCTCATACGCAACACTATCGGTCGCGAGCCCAATTCCTAGTTGCAGGGATCCACACTTTCCACACTCAGATATTGGGATTGGATTCCTCAATATCCGCCGAGGCCGGAGGCCTGGGGCCTTTACGTTCAGGGCCAGAGTCGTGGTTTTCGTTAACCCTCCCCAAGTCCCATGCGCTGGTTTCTGGGGGGGGGCAGGGGGCTGGTTGGCTGGGCTTTGGATCGGCTGCCGGGGGTGGTCCGGGGTTGGGGGGGGGGGTCGGAGTCGGGGCGGTGGGGGGACGGTCGTTCACATCATCATCTTCTAAAGTCACACTGTCAACATTCTTGCTTGAAAACTTAAAGGTTCGGGACCCGGTCGTACGTGCTGTTAGTACCACCTTCCAAACTATCTACGACAGAAATAATTCAACACGATATGGGAACAGACTTTGTATTTGCGCCCCGTTTTGATGCCTTGACGCTTAAAACTCCAGCTTTGGATTGAAAGATGTAGGGCAAAATATCGTCTAGGTTTTGCAAACATCGTGCCTCGATTACGCTCTTCAGACTCTCGGATAGAAGTTCATGATGTGACAAATTATGGAATTTGCGCCGCCCACGTATCCATGTTGACATTGCCTGGGGATTCTGCAACATGATGCTTGTTGGTCCGCCACCAGTAGCAGCGCCTCTGGCAATCGCAGGCCAAGAAAACTAGTAGCTTGCTGACAGGCTTGAAGGTGAGAAATGCGGTTCTCAACTGCTGGGTTATGGAAGTCTTCCTATTTCGTTGGATCCTCACGACACACAACGAATGGAAGGCTCGAACTACTGCGGAGCAAGTCAGTATGCAGCCTCCTGGCCACGTCAGGGTTCGGATCACGCGGTACTCGTCCTGCCACCGCATGCGCACACATGCAAGATTAATGACAGTGGGCGTCAAGCGGGAAAGCATAGAGGATGCTCCGAATCGCATTAGCATGCGAAGCTGGCTTTGCTCTGCATCCGTGCGCAACGATCCCGTGGCTTTAGGTTCTTGACCTTCAGTTGTTCTGCCCACCTTGCCCTGAAACACAGCCATGTTCGACCTTAGCTCGTGCTTTCCATGGGCTGCGCTTGCAGCCACTACTGTTCTCTACAGCATCCAAACACGAGCATTAGCCATTAGCGGCCAACAAGGGAACACATCCTTCTGCCAGGGAGCTTGAACTCATTCAAAGCTTGCGGGCCGAGGATGCTCTCGACGCTCTTGTCCATTTCTGAGAAGCCAGGTCATGCGACAGAGTTCGATGTGCATCTTATCTCCAAGCTGAGTCTGCCCGACGTGCACACTTGCAGGCCAAAGAGCCAGCAACATTCGTTGCGCTATCGTTCTAGCTGTCGCACACATGTGTGCAGCCTGAAAGTTGGATCTTTCCTTGGGGGCCCAGCTGCCATATCTACCGATGAAGTCTTCCAGGCCTTCAGGCGCCTCACAAAGCAAGGAAAAGGGGGGCAGACAGTTCTAGCTGTCCAGCATTCCAGCAAGCCTGTGCGGAGTGAAGGCCACGATAAGTCTTGTAGGACCAAGGCATCAACCTGGGACAGAAGAACGCTAGGGACGGATTCTTTACGCGCATCCGGTGCTGATTTCACCTAGCCATGCCCAGCCACATCCGAAAGCTCAAGCAAACACGCAACGTGACTGAACATTTAAGGTGATTTCAAAATCAAAATATATCTGAGTTCTGTGTATGGAAGGTTTAGAACAATCTTGAACCACGCCCACAGGCCAGTGTGCTAAGCGAGCTGATGCAGCCACTCCTGTTCACCAATGCATGTGTTGCTACTGGTCAAGCCAAACTCTCTGTGAATAGTCCAATACGGGGGTACCAACTGAAAGGAGTCCTCGCAGAAACGCTCCTGCTTTTCACAACCATCCATGCGCGTGGCTGCTTCGCTGTTCTGCAAGGTTCAGTTCCTTCTGTCACATCCTGTCATTGCTCACAGTTCTGTACAATGCAAAAGCTCTGGTTGATAGTTAACGAGTTTTGTTCAAAAGCAACAGGACTTGCATGAGCTGCGCGAAGAACCAGAAAGAGGTGCAGTACACTGCATTCCCGTTCCTTCGATTCGCATGGGCCCGGTAGTGACAGCTTTTGTTTGATTCGGCGCAGCATGTGAAATTGACAGTACACGTATTCAGCGTGGGGTGCTGCAACTTTGAAAAGTTGAAGATGCGGCACCACTATCTGCATGATCTTGCCCTGAGACTGCAACTTCAAGCGTCTGAAGCCATCCAGTCACTTGTAAGCAGTTGCTGCTACTGCTGCATGTTTCCTGAGTGATGCTGAGTGCCGAGCCCTTCTACTTTCTCACCTGGCTTGATGGCTCGACCAGAACGATCCATCCTGGCTGCTTGGCAAATGCAAGATTGAAGAAACCTGCACAAAGTAACCTGCCATAGCACCAGGTATGCTGCCCTGAATTGCCATGCTTGCCATGTATGACTTGACGGCAGTGACAGGCTACCTGAGCAATCCAAACAGACTTGAGAAACCTTCCAAGCGTGCTGGCAAGGCTTTAGAATCACTGGTTCCTTCGCCAACTGCTCAAGTGCTTCAGGATCAACAGCTATGTTCTCGTCTTCCTGCACCGACTCGAATCACAGCCCAACGCGACATCGCGACGACTTGCACTGATGATGCACCAGCACCCTGGATCAAATGATGGCCTTTTGCTTTGTGAAATCTTCTAAGCAGGCTCAGCGTCCACGAGGACATCATGGTTTGGGCAACAGCCAAGCCTTTCCGAGAAGTACGCCTTGGCCGGCGCGATCCCTTGCCTCGGCTTGGCGTCAAGGCAGTGCGCTAACTCATGCAGCCTGAGACGCGGAGTGTAGCGTAGTGCAGACAGGGGCACGCTGCGAACATGATAGCCAGCAGAGCTCCATTCACGGATTTTGCGCTTCTGGTACTCGTTGTAGATGCGATTCCTCATTACAGAAGCTAGCTGCAAATAGAACCAGAGAGCTGCTCCATGAAAATCTCCGCAGGAACAACATGGCTGAGGATGGTCTGGCAGGCAATTGGCGCTGTGCACATGGGAACAGACTGAACACGCCCCAGTTTGTGACCATTTGCCTTTGTTAGCAATGTTGCCCTCTCTTGTCTGTTGCTTCCTGCTACTGTTTGCTACTTCATGCTAACAAGGATACATCCTACCTTTTGCTGTGTCATAGTCACTGCAATATCTCCTTCCAAGCAAATGCGAAAGGGCAATTTGCAATTTGCAATCACTGAAATCCTGGAATTAACACGAGCACACATGCGCAATGCCCTTCCAAATCACGTAGGTCACACATACACAACTACAATCAACCACACACCTTTCGGTCTATGCGCAAGGCAGCCGGGCTTGGTCAAAGAAGAAACTCCAATTGTAACACACGTACTTGCAGAAAAGCACAAAGCTGCCAAAGAGAAGCACGCCAACAAAGAGGGCGCCTTTGGGCTTTGGGCTGTGTATGGCCGCAGTGCACGCTAAGGGTGAGGAAAGCCCGGCTCTTGGCATCGCTACCTCCTGACTGTGAATGGAACAGCAACTGCTTCACGAGTACCCGAACATCTTCCAATCTATCAGCACTCATCACAGCGGCGAGCATGAAGAAGGGAAGGAGGATTATCTGTTGCCCGAAGTCAAACTCTCATGGCAGAAGCCTAATTGCCAGCCACCATGCACCAACTGCTTACACCGTGTTCGTCTTTGGATTGTGCGCACGTGTTGAAGAATTTCCCAGTATGGCTACTTGAAAATGCTGCCCATTTTGTGGCAACTAGAACTGTGGGCTTAACTTCAACAACACTAGGCTCCGCGCGCATCCCACTGACGCTGCCACAGATTGACCTGAAACAGGGCAACCGAAATGTGGGCTCCTCACTGGTGAGGTAAAGCCCGCCTTAGCAAAGGCATCTCCCTTTGAGGCTGCCAGGAGCGCACCGGCGAAAAGAACCAGAGGCCTTACTGCGGGGCTTGCGCAAGGAGCCCAATGCAACCACCAAGAAACTATCCCTATAAGCTAAATCACAAGGGCGCAAGCCACCATGTATTCGGCCCGTTCAATGAATGTCAAGTTGGTAGCCAGTGCCGATGGTTGCCGCGACTTCTCATCTGTGTCCCAGACCAAGCGCTTCGGATCCTCCAGCTGCGCCAGCCAGTCTTGCTGGGGCCTGCCAAACTTTGCATACACTGCTGGGTGCCGGGTTTGATCGGTGCATTGAGGCGGGAGCCTCACCTTCGCACAGGTAATATGGCTAAACAATGCGAAATCAACATGGAAGAGTCCAGAGCAATGCGGCCTGCATTTTCAATTTCTCCCTGCGGGGGAGCTGGCAAGCGGTGCCTGAATTCTCCCCTTGCTCGGGATACGGCATGTACTGAAGCCAAGAGCCAGGAGTGTCGCTTAGACTCGTTTTCGCTGGTGGGGAGCCGACTACCGTTTTTACGTGTTGGTGCCGCATCCATCGGTTACAAGTCCGGCCTCAATGGCCTACGGCCACAGACCACTCTTCTGGCACTCCCAGTTTGGCCACAGCTGCAGCGTGTTCCCGCAAGGGCATCTCAGGCCAGGCTCGCGAGGGTCTGGTCGATGTGCGTGCGAAGACTCCGTAAGGGAATTCTACGTTTCCTGAGTCATTCTGGAATGAAGATTGCTTGGGGATGGCTTACTAATCCGTCTCGTACGCAATCGACCCCAGAAGCCCACAAAATTTCAGAAGGAGCTCGCTTTGGCTTGGTCAGGCAACGGCAAACTTATCACACCCGGCCTGTACCGAGCGCCGCCTTTCCTAAAAATCGTGCAAGGCTGAAAGCGCCTGCTATAGATAGTGAGTCTGTATACCTCAAAGGATGGCGAGCCTTTCAGGCCATAAGGCCGGTATAGGCTCCAGCGGCGTGAGCGCGCTCTACTCCTGGCTATCCTTCAGCTGCGGGCACAGTGACTTATCACACGTGCCTTCTGTACTCCTACGGCAGTGCCTGCAGAATGGGAAGCCATTGAAGCGCGCAATGCACCGCACAGAGTAGGGGAAATCAATGCAGCTCATTGAGTAACCCTTTCTTGGCAGCTGTCGACTTTGTTTCTTCCAGCTGCCTTCATGTCCCCTTGGAGAATTTCAGCGCGTCAGTTTCTGGAGGCAATCATCTGTCAGCGGAACCAGAACCATGATTCCATCCTGCTGCTATCAGAATCCCGGTCCATGAATGCGATATACCTCTTTAGCTGACAGCTGCTTCGCTTTTCTTCTGGTGGCAACATGGCAACACTCCTCCTGCATCTTGGGGGTCATCATTTGGTTTGTCGCGCCATTTGACAGCATCCATGCGAAGTCGTTCAACGACACGCTCCTGCACAGCATGCAAACTGAAGCGCTAGCCAATCTACCATCAATCATCATCGAGCTAGACTGCATGTATGGTGTGCATGGCGTCTCGTTTGCAAGTATGCAGCTCAACACAAGGGCTTTAGCATTTGAAGCCAAGTCACTGGTCAGCTGTCATTGTAGAGAGACCCCAAGGACCATAACCTTAGAGTGTGCACGGTGCAGCACCTGAACTTGAGGGAGGCTAGAAAGACAAAACAGCTCAATCTAAGCAGTCACCTGACAGGAAATCACAATGCTGAATCCTAGAGCTATCGACTTCTGCGAATCTTACTCATGTGCAGGGGCTAATTCAGTTTTCCAAGCAGTGCTGGTGCCTTCCAAGGAGCCATATTCAGGATCCCAAATAGCAAGCCATGCCTGCATGTCATGGAGTCTTCACTTAAACTGCTTAAACTTGTTTCGCAGGAACTGAAGAGGCAGTGCCATCGTCATGCAAAATTCCTTTTTGCAAACTGGCAATCTCACAGCAAAGCTCAGCTTCACATGTTATATGGGAAAGGCAGGCATAAGAGGCTTGAGACAAAACCCGTCACGTGACCTCCCTTTCAGCGCATCTATCCAGGGTTAGCATAGACTTGTTACACTTGCGCGGCCTGGTCGCCCTGGCCCTCCTCAAACGCTGCCTGTGTCTGCAAACTTGTCAAATTACATTGGTAGCCACAGGCATCTTCTGGACTTCATGTACAGTTTCAAGCTGGTCGCTGTGTTTGATGGCTGTCCACATACAACCTTGATGTAGCCCGCTACTATCTGCTACTGGTGGCTGGCATCACTGACTAGGCCTTTCGGAGCCAGGTGGATACTTTCCCACCAGGGAAGCGCCATATCTGCAAGGCCAGGGCTAACGTCCAAATCGACACCAGCAGCAGCCGCAAACCCTTTACACATGCGGCTTGAGCCCTTGAGCACTGTAAGGCTGGGGCCAGCTGCTCATTGGCGTGGGCGCTCAGTACGGCGCCTTGTGCAAGGAACGCTGTGAATGACTCATACGACATCATACGACATGCGGCTTGAGGTGTGCTTTCTTGCACGTTCCTGCACGTTAAAACGACATGCTGTGCTCGCATCAAAGTCAGATGCTAGATGCCAAGTCCCAGACTGCCGCAGCGCCACTGGAAGCTGCCCTGGCAGTCATGTCAGATTGTACCCACACGTAGAGGCAGGAAGACGCAGTCACGTGCAGTCACCGCACTTGTTGAATCTATGTGTCTTCCAGACGCTGGCAGATGTGCATTGCAACGTTCACAGATCGGACCAATTTGCATCAGAGCCATGCGAGTGCCAGCCTCTGGCTGCCAAAGCTCCAGGCGGAGTTGGCGCAAAGGAGGGCGCGTGATTGTGGCCACCTTGTTTTCGATAAAACAGCATGGAGGTGCGTGTAAGCTTCACGCTCACCAAGACTAACTCTAGCATCTTTGTTCTTGAATGTCGGCACCTGGCAAAAACCAAGCACCGCACCAGTTGGCCGAAAACTCCAAAGTTGGAAGCCTTCCAATGAATGTTAGCAGCACATGTGAGGACTATGCTGCAGTCTCTGGTGCAAGCTGCCAGCCCTTCCCGGTCCTCGGCAACATGCACGTTGTTCCTCAGCTGTTTTGCTGAAACTCGAGTTGCAAGCCATGCAGTGGTTTTGTCCTCAACATGCCTAATTTGTCTGCGTGTCCCGTCAGCGTCGACCCAAGTGCCCCTCAAGTCCTCAGTGAAGGGAAAAATTCTGCAAGCCAATGACGTGGCTACAACATGCAGGAAACTGTCAAACGCCGCGAACCCAATGCAACGTCTGTAACCCAGTCAACACACCACTCCGCTCAGTCCTCATTCCTCTCCACTCTGCACTCCTGCTTCTCCGGGCCACTTAATTTCCTCCAGTCTACCCCGTTCCACTTCTTATCCACTGCACGCCGCAGCCCACTCCAGACGGCTCTCTGCACGGCCTTCCACTCCCCTCACACAGTCTCCCCCCCGTACACTCCTCGCCACCGAGTGCCTCCACGCTTCCTCCAGGGTCAATCCTCCACTCAACGCTCAACTCTCGACTTCTTGCGCAAAAATCGACATGACAAGGGCACGAGGGCACAAAAATGACATCCGCCGAGGCCGGAGGCCTGGGGCGTTAAGATCCAGGTTCGGGGACTAGGAAAGTCCCCCTACCCCCTCCCAGAGGGTGGGGCTTAGGATCGGCTTTGTTTTCTGTGTTTCAAGGAGGGGCAGGTTTTTTCAGGTCCGCATGGTCGGCAGGGTTCTGCAGGTTCTTCCTAGGCACCAAGCCAAAAACACGGATGATGGGGGGGGGGGGTGGAGGGTGGGCAGGGGGGCAGGTGAGGGCAAGGGTGTGGTGGCAGATGGGGGGAGGGGGTGGCGGGGGACGGCTAGCTTTGTGGGCACCGTGCAAAATCAGGATGAAGCAACGCCAATGTTTGGAGGCCATCACTCTTTGACCATGGCATGCTTCTGCTGGGATGGCCCAGCTTCTGAATCTTGACAACCTTTGCCGAGGCGGTCTCGCGTTAGCGGTTAAATTAGCTACGAGGATCGCAACTCACAGGGCCCATCCCTATTATAGTCGACACTTTAAAACTGCGACAATTATCGAATACCAGGGTCCGAAACTGACGACAATAGCCCACAGGAGACCGTTGCTGGCGCCCGATGACTTCTGTGCAAACAAGGAAAAGCACCAACAAACTTCACGAAAGCCTTTGCGCAACCTCCAAAGTCAGAAGTGCAGACAAGTCTCCTCAAAGGTCAGCCTGAGGCCGAGGACAGTGGACAGACCAGTTCTGAATTCTCTACTCATGGAGCTCCATGGAGATCGAACACATTAAGTTGAGCGCCGCGTGTTCACACTGTCAGAGCAGCAACTGATACCGCTTAGACTTCAGACCTGTGCTATTTCCCAAGTTTTGAACACAGGCACCCAGACCTTTACTCAGAATCTGCTTACCTTGGCCGTGGTCAGGCAATCGGATCGCTTGCGATGCAACTTGTGTAACCAGATTTGTCTTGAGCATTGAGATATCATGTCATGAAAAGATCAATTCAGGGTTTACTGGTGAAGGTCTTGGTGGATTTGGGTACAGTAAATCTGCTTTTGGGGCTTGAGGCTTGATAACTTCCAGACATCAGTCCCGTTGGTTTTTATCCTTGTTTCTTTCTTTTTTACTTCGCGCTTCTGTACCATAATTTTGTTGGGGGCTTAGGGCTTACTAGCCACAACTCCTTCCCTCTTCTTGGGGGCTTGCTAACCGTTGCTTCTCCTTAGGATTGTTCGGGCTTGCTGGGCACCACTCTTTTGAGGTGATACAGTTTGCTCAGCAGCACTTCTCTAAGGGATTGGGGTTTGCCGGCCAGCACTCTTTCCAGCGAGCTACTCGAATTCTGCGCTTGTCCCAAACCCCACCTCACAAGCAACTCAAAATCCAAAGCTGGATCTAAGGGCTAAAGCCAAATCCTAAACCCAGACCCTCAGCTTCCAACAAAACCACAGAAAACGAGAGGAACGAACGAGCACACGCCCTTCTATTGTCCTGCAACGGACATTCATCTGCATATTGCTGCCCTGCAGCGTCTCCTTGTGCTCGCTTGACGCAGTCGAACATGTCTGCGTGACCGGTTTACCCGCCTAAGCTTGCTGTCTGACATCTGGAGGAATGCAAGAAGCGTGCCAGCATCAATTCTCTCACCTCAACCGTACTGGATCCTGCAAATGCCCAGATCTCCACCAGCATGCCAACTCGGGAAGTCGCTTTATCTGACTCTTCTACTCGTTCAGCTCTCTCATGTTGCCTTCTTCGGACTAGATGAAACCCTGGAAGCACTCCGAAGGTCCTGAGTGCTCAATCTACCCCGCTAGTTTCGGAAATCAACTATGATGCGTCAATCAACAAACTCCCAGCGCCCAGATGAAGATGGAAAAAACGGCTTTCTAGTTATTCCCTCCCGGCATTGAGGACTCTGGCCTGTCTCTTACTTTGGGGTGTTTGGCTCGCAAGCCCCTGTTGCGGGTTGCGACAAGGGACACAAAACCATGGCCTCCTTGTAGCTTCAAGATTCGAACAGGGTCATACATAAACCAACGATGTGGCATTGAAACCTCTCTTTGAAGTCTTCAACTCTTCCTCTTTTGCATGGTAGCTTAACTTTCTACCGTCTGCGGGTCTTCATTGCAGTCCTTACCCAAAGATGAAAACTCCGAAGCTCATAGACGGCGTTGCTGCAGACTGGTGAATCTTGCTTGTAAAGTTTGGTTCAAACATGTTGAAATCAGCAAAACAACTCACTGGCCTTCTCTGTCGAGGAAGGAGAAGCCTCCTGCCAGCGTCACACCGGCTAGCCATCGACACCTATAAAAGACAGCGCCGAAAACTCTGGCAGCAGCCTTAAACTTCATGGAAATCGCCTCCCCCTAGAAGTAAAACGCATCCCCCACATGCCTCGACCTGACATGGTATCTATTATCAAGGTGTATGTTTTGAAGGTCAGCAAAGATTTGCGAGTTCATTATGCAAGCAGAAGATCCAGGGCGTTACTAGCTAGCTCGAACGAATACTTGACTTGCTCGTCATTTAATACTGCCGGACTGACAGCCACTGCTAAGCACCAACAATCGCACAAAACCAACTGAAACCGACAAAGAGCTCAGAAATTCAGAAGTGAAGCACTTCCTCATTGTAGATCTCCCTAGATTTCTTTCAGACCCTGTTCAACTCCATAAAAGCCTCAACAAACAACATCAACACCTAGGAAACAAAGGAAATCCCAAAATCGCTGAATCCTGGGATGTCGATTCTTTAGACACGTTTACAACTCCATCTACATGCATTCCGTGACATAACGCTTATGCAAGTACAAACAAACTAAGAAATCAAGAAACATCTGACCTGACCTGCTTTGATTCCCGTCATTATTCCCACAGAGCTACTCTGCAATTCCATGTTGACTTCCACGTGCATTTAAAGCAGCCTTCCCCTTTGAAAAGCGCTCTTCCAGAAACTTAGGCCTGCGGCTTACCAGGAAGGATCTTTACAAAAAGCTTCATAAGCCCAGTATCCTGAAAGCTGCTACCCTCATTCTTTCGGGTGTCCTTTGAGGAGCTGCGAACAGTGCCGCTGGAGCTGGAGCTTGCCTGCTGCTTTTAGGATTTAAGGCGTGGGGATATGATTTGCTTCTAGAGGATCAAATATACCTTGGCATCCTGTTCATGGAAGCCCCCCATGTAGACATACCCTCACCCTCTTGTTGGCCATGTTGATGCTGTGCATCTGCGTACTGAAAGTTGGTCAGCTCATGACGGGAAGTGCAAACCTTCCCACTGCCTCACTGGGCGGTCGCAGGCCGTGAAGCTGCATCGGCCAGGACCTGCCCTGAGAAGACGCTGGGACAACATTGCTAAGCCACGCAAATCAGATCCACTGTCACTGGATCTAGTCTGAATTCGATTTTAGGTGCGCAACACAAAGTGCCCAAGTACATAGTTGCAACTGTGCAACCACCAAGTTACGGAAAACCAAACTGAGTGATTAGGGACGGCTTCCTGTGCTGCTCCACCCGGTTTCCCGTGCCAGGTGCGCCGCTGTTTCCTTTACAGTTCCCAGCCCGAATTGTTGTTACTTTCCCACCCAAAACCCCATCCTGCAAACTTGAAACCAACATGACACCTCACGTGGCAATCTCTTGCCGTCACCTTCTGGGATTGCTGGCGGCCTGACACCTCACACCTCATCTATGAACCTATTGAAGCTACAACGCCATACAGCTCACCACTGGACAACTCATCTGCCATCCTCATTCTTGTATGCACACCTGGGGTGGTATCTTGGCAGTCTGCTTGCATTTCGGTACAATTGCCTGCCTGCTATCTAGGTTGCCAAGCCGATGCAGTTGTCCTGCTTGAAATCTACGAACGCAACCATGGTTGAATAAGCGTAGCAGGCCTTAACAACGGCTTTGCTCCGAAGAATCCGTCTGTCGGCGGAAGCAACGAAAACCTCAGTTGAATCCAACAATGGCAGCTGTGGCACATCATCGCGATCCCTTTGCATCTATGCAGAGGCCTAAAGAGGATGAAAGCTGTGTTGCTTTCTGCAAAAGTGAAGCTTTTGTTTTGCGCATCACCGCGTCTAGCTTGGCCAAGTTCTTCTCGACCACCGCATCGCTTGCCATTTGTCCAAGGTCTGTTTGCCCTTCTGGCAGCACGCTGCTACAAAAATTAACTGAGACACAATGGCAGCGGTGAATAAGTCGGGTTCGTCTCACCACCCCCACCAGCACCAGGACCAGCACCGGCACCGGCACGAGCACCAGCAACAGCACCATCACCAGCAGCAGCAGCAGCAGCACCACCACCACCACCACCACCACCACAACCACCACAACCACCACTACCACAAGCACAAGAAGACGAAGAAGCGCACAGTTGCAAAATCGAACGAAGCAAGGCTTACAAAGAATGATGACTGTAGTCATTGTAGCCCGCACAAAGTGCGTACGCATCGCATATGAGGTCCAACAAGTTGACATCAATGCCTCTGCCCGGATGAGGAGTGCCGTTCATGGCCAGGCGCCACAGAGAAAATTGATGATCTGGGTTCGGATGCTGCTTTGGTGTTCCCGATGAATCCGGATTACAGCTCGGCACTTGCATCCTTGTCTCGGCTGCTGCGGCCTTCCGAAGATGTCTTGAGAAAATACAAGAATGCTGCCGTATCTGTGCAGCTATCATCCAGTCAATATGTTCTGCGCGTGGCTCAAAGATGAATCCGTACACGCTAACTTTTGTGGTGCTAGGTGTCCTATCCATTTGTGTCTACATGAAATGTTGGCAACGGCAAGGAAATACAAGTTCCCACCCAAGCGAGCAATGGTTGTCTACAGCTACGTATTCCAGCTCAAGTGGTGGTCATCAACTGTGGGCAGCAGCTGATTTTTTAAATGCGACCGGTTGCCTTTGGCCCTGCCCGAGCAGCTGCAAGCTATCAACACATCGGAGCATGGGACTCACACAGCTCGAGCGCCAGAGTGATGTTCCCTGCAGCCTTGTAAACACTTTGAATTCCGAGCTACAGGCAAAACCACGTTCAATTCATGCAGCTGCTGCCTGGAAAGACGCCAAAAGCTGAAATCATGGGATGCTGTAGCCCGGGCCGACTAGGCTTTCAGCAATTAGGTTGCCAACGCGAGGCGCGTAGCCAGGACGACTCTGCAGAAAGTGCCCACAGTGAAGCATCTGAGGCACTGCAATCAAACCCGAAAAGCCCTAGCCGAGAATCAAACCCAAGAATTAGCTCGCCGAGAATACGACCCTGAAAATGGTACGTAACAGCTTCAGCAAATGGAGCAACGCGTGTGGATTTAGGCATCAAAGTGAAGGTCGGCTCCATCAATTCTACTTACTGCTGCGGCTGAACCCAGCGAAACTGGGAGCTGCACTGTGCTTTCAAACAGGCATCTCTGCACTCATGGCATTGACGGGAAGCGCTTCCCGCTCTGCCCTGTCGGACTTTAAGCTGCAGCTTTCACCTTAGCTGTTGCCAGAGTCCCAAGGCATCCCAAGGCTAAACAGGGGAAGGGATCTGGAAGGGAAGTGAGCAGAACACCAACTCAACTTAGCTCTACACTCGGATTTTCTTGACGAAGCTGAGACTCGACGCGCAGGAAGCAGGAATGCAGTTCCAAACTGCAGGTGTTTTCGGGGGCTGCTCGTGTTGGGGGTGGCAGGGCGGGAAAGACTGCGAAGAGGCTGAGGAGAAGGTATGCTTTGCAATGCATACTTGTACAGAACAGAAACTGACAGCTGCATGGCACATCTCGTGAAGAAGTAGCTTGTTGACACATCGAGCTCAATGAAATCTTAGGACCGGGCCCCTGGTGCCGCAGCAAATTACTACGTGGATCAAGTGAAACATTTGGCAGCTGTTGCGGCTAAAGTCTATGTACGAGGGAGCGGCATGAACTGCTGGCCAAACAAAGTGAGACCGCTGATGCAAAACCTACTCCCTCCTTCTAGCAGCAGGGATCCTTTGGCCAGCAAATGTCAAATCGTAGACCTGCGCTTGCTCTCTCCCTAAAGCTACGGTGAGTGGGGTGCTCTGAGAAACTTCCAAGTTCTAGGATTCCAAAAGACTACTTCTTTGGCTGCAAAGAACTCCACTCACAAAAGAAACCCTGACCCGAGAGTGGCGCCGCCAGAGGCTTGTTGCGAATGCCTTGCTAAGCTTCCTGTGTCTGGCACCGTCCCGCAGATGTCTTGCAGAGTCTAACATCTTTGCACACGTGCTTGGCCTTGGTTGCCAACATGACAGCTCATATTGGTCAGAAAGCTGCGCCGGTCAAGCAGGTTCAGCCTGTCAATTGAAGCTGCATGCTGGTCATCACCGGAAATCTGTGGAAGCATGCCCATGACTGGCGAACACCTTCAATCTTCTGTAGCTGCGGTCAATGCCATCCACATTGACCACTCTGCTAGCTTATAACGAGGATTGGAATCGGAAGAGAATCGCAGCCTCGAGGCCGCGTTTGGAGCTACCTTAGGCCATGCTGCCAAAACAGATTCAAAAACAAAGACCAAAAGAAGTTCCATAAGAAACTAGCTCAGAAAGGTTTAGACCTCTGCTTACTCTGGACAGGCCTGGTCGGTGATTCCTTTCAGCATACCGAAGTAGTTTGCAGGGAAACATGTCGAACAAACACCATGGAGAGCACGCTTGCACAAGCTGGAAGTGAAGCAACGCCGCATGGGTTTGCCTTGCTCCCCCGTACCTAGATTCAAGGATTGTTGAAATCCTTCTTGAAAATTGTCATTTGTAGAGTCTCCACGAAAAGGGCTACCTCGTGAGTAGAATCAGAGGGTTGCTTTTGGACAGTAGCATCGCGAAGCAGAGGCATACAAAAGCAACCGATAATCGATGGAAGTGGCGCGAAGGGAAGTTAATTTGAGAGGCTACATCAACAAGAACAATCGCAACGCTGCAGCATCATAGCCGTCATCTGCTTCAACTAGCACTGCGGCGCCATTCTAAGGCAATGCTCCGGTCTACTACCCTCTGCAAAAAAATATTGATGTTCACGCCGCTCGCTTAGTTCAATGGGATATTGTTCCTTGCATTGCTATGCGCAAAGGAGGTCCAGCACACTCGTGCGGAAATCATGCACAAGTTAGCAGCTCTAGCTCTTAGCACTATGCAAGGCCCTTGTCATTGTTTATGTTTTGTTTGCCTCATCTCGCTATCCTTGGCTGCACAAGCATGCCTGTTATCATACATCCAGGCGTCAGGCCCAATTGAACTGCATGTGGAAGCCTTTCTTTGGGCTTTGGGTGTTTGCTTGCATGCTTCACAAATTTCGAGCTAAACACTAAACCCTAAAGCCTAAACCATAACTGCTGGTTCTTTTGTCAGCGCAGAATCTAGGTCTGCGGGTGCGTTCGGCTCATTCCTTTATTGTAGTTGCGAGTGGCGGGGGCCTGCAGGAACTTCTTTGCACATGTTCGTGGCATCATGCGGCTAGTTGTGTCGGCCGCGGCAGATTCTGGGAGTTTACGCCGGTCTGGTACCGCTCGCTGGTGTGACGTGCGGGTCATGTCGAATTTGTTGATGCTGGTGTCGGTCGTGTGGGCGTGCCTTTGGCAAAGCCACACGACCCGCCTCACAAACAGGTCTCCGTCACTCGAGCGTACCGCACTGCGAACAGCCATGAATGACGCAACATATGCAAACCAACATGACCAGAGTGCCCAACACGACATAGCCAAGCAACGCCAGAAAGCAGCCCCTGCCAACAAAACGGACGCGCTCGAACGGCGCTGACGCAATGGGAAGCAAACACAGCCACTTGCACACGAATGACGCATCCACGGCAACCTGCAGATTCTGCAAACCTCCCTAATCCCTACTTGCTGAAAACAGCAGCCGATACCTGCCTGGCATCCGCATCTAGCTGCCGAGAACAGTAGCGCAGAAGCTGTGAAATCATCGACTACCAAGAGTTGCCCAGATCCAACATGGCCACAGGACTCCATGCAGCGATGGAGGCAACTATTCAGAGATTCCAGGCCCAACACAGGTGCAAGCTGAGAGCAATCTTGATCCTGACAAACCCAGCTTCACAAGTACAAAGATCTCCCATCCAAACCCCAGAAATTCATCGGTCATGGAGCTTCAGAGAGTAAGGGATCTAGTCAGTACACGGCATTGGGGCGCTGTGTAGATTCAGCCAAGTTGCATCAACAACAATGGAAATCGATTGAGATATGTGGAAGTGCTGCGATTTTGTGGAAGTCAGTTGTTGCGCCTTCTGGTACAACAAAACGCATCGCGAAGCAAAATTTGCTGCGACCGCAGAGCTTAAACTCAATTCGGTAGACTTCAGCGAAAAACAAATTCAGTCAATCAAAACATTCGAATGCCCAGGGGGTTTTCCATGGGTTTTCCCCATACATCGTTGAACGTTTAAATCGACTTGAGAGCCACGGGCTGGGACGAAAGCTCAATAATGGACAGGACTGGTGAGACAGGACGCAAACAGACAGACCGTATACGACCAGAAGGGCAGCCCAATTAGCCCAGATCCCCCCAACATCCCCCCAAGATCCACCCAAAATCCCCCCAAGACCACCCCAAGAACCCCAACATGTCCCCAAGATCCCCCAAGAGCCCCCCAAGAGCCCCCCAAAATCCTTCCAAGATCACCCAGATAACATGCAAAGATGTAGCCCAAAAAGGCCTCCTGCAGCAACGCTCGAAAACCCACCCTGCGGTGCAGGGAAGCCGCAAAAACCGGCCAAAATTGGCACCCCTCCTCCCGGACCCCCCCATGATCCCAGGCTCACTCCGTGAGGTACTAAACGAAGCTCCCACAGGGGGAGCTTTCGTGATTTGGACTCCTGCACCACATCAACCATGCGCCCATGAACTTGATTGAAATTCGGCTCCAACAACAACTGCAAAACTCATGATACCATTCGTGACTTGCAGCCAGCATTCGAGAATTTTGTGGTGTGAGACGGAGTGATACCCCCAGAACTCTGTACGCTGTACATTGCAGTCATGACGAAATGAGCACAAACCTGGCATCAGAAGTATGAGCCTGACCGTTTGCTGGTAGTTGCTTCGGCTTGTTGCAGCAAAGGAGCTTGAGTCCTCAAGACCTTTGTCTGCCTGTCAGGCATCACTTCTACGCATTATGGAGCTAAAGGTTGCAAGGAAAGAGTGGCGGCTTTAAAAAAAATCCTGCCCCACCTCCGAGGTCTCTTGGGCCTGGCAGTCGAATTGACGCCTCCATGTGAAGACAGCATGTACATGCAAACGACAATGACACCAACAACAGCTTCGCCTGAGTTGTGTGTAGGTCCGGTTTTCAGGGTCCAGTTCGATGGCACTCCCAATGTACCTTCGCGGGTGCATCCTTGCCAAGGAGGCGCTGTGACACAACAAGCTGCAGGAGCTCAACTTGACACTCTCCTAGCTGCTAGCACACTATGTGCGGGGCACTCGAGCGCTTTCTGGGAGTCATTCAAGTATGCATGAAGCGTTGCAAGATTTGCGAAGCAGACCTGAGCAGACTGCGCCGATTTGCACAGCGCAAAACAAAGATTGCCACTCCTGCACACCGCCAGGCCATACACGAAACATAAGCTTCTTGATTTATTGTACGCAACCATACTGAACGGGCGAGGATGACTGCAGCATTGACTTTTTCAGACACTGCCTAGGGAGGAAGTTGAGACAGACTGGCCGATAAGGCCCGAACATGGAGGGCTGGATCAAGTGACACCTTGCAATGCTCTGCGCAGCATCAACCTTGCCCCTGATGCTTTCATCTTGCAAGACGCCCATGTCTAGTCAGCGCCACACACCTAAATCGCCCCGATACGTGACTGGGACAAATGGCGCTGTTTTTGTCTCTTTGCGACCTCCAGAAAATATACAACGTCATCGTCACTCTCAGTGTATTGCTGCTCGCTTGTAGCTCTCAATCGCTTCAGGAACCTGGTCCAACGACCTGGTCAGGGGACATCAAACATGGCGGCTCACAAATCAACCGAACAAACCGCTGTCCGCGCCCGTGAGAGCACCTAGAGATCCAATACACCTGCTGTGGATTTGGAGGTTGAGGAGCCGGCTGCATTGCAACACCGAGGTGCGCCCATACCTGCACTGTCAACGCCCGCTGTGTGATGCGGTTCGGTCACCGCCGTGCCTCGGCAGTGATCACTGCCCCGCTTGTTCCTGGTTCTGTGCCAAGCCCAGACTCCTGCCCAGCATGGGCAGGTCAGATTTCTCTCGTGGACCGGCTTTGCTCCCTACCTGCAGAATCTCCAGGGTTCGTCGGAAAAGAGGCACTGCCTGAAGTGTGGATCACCACGGAACATGCGGGCGTGGGAGTCTGTATCACTGCAGTCCCCCCGGCCTCAGAAAACCGTTGACGTTGACAAAGAACCTGGAGCAAGAACGCTTCAAGATAACATGAGTGTTTTCCTTTTGAATCTTGCCGCGCTGGCCTCCGCTTGCTGGAAGCACTCCTTCAAGATGCAAGGATCAATAATTGAGCTGGATAAACTAAATTGTCCCGCTGTCCTGCGCCGCCATTGGCAGCGTGCCACCTTTGTGACCACCAGACCTTACTCTCATGCAGCAGCACACAGTGGCAAGCCACAAAATTGGCTTATCTTCTGGTTGTTTTTCTTCTGCTGATGCTGCCTCTTCATCTTACGCCGCAGTTGTTCTTCTTTTGGTTTTGCATGCTTTATGCATGACATAATCTTTACCTGCAACCCAAATATCTCTCAGGACCTTCCAAGACAGGCTGCAGGTACTCCAATTTCTGGTCGGTGGCTTTGAAGCTGAACTCAGATCGTTCGTTGCTCCAGCATTGGATCTGGTTGCAGAAGCCTCGCCCCGATCTTGGTTGAAGGGTGTGGCATGAGTGGTTGGCTACTTGCCTTACGCAGCTGGTTATCTCAAAGGAACACCAATCAACAACGCTTCGCTCCTCCAAACTTCCCACCTTCTGTCCAGGTTTCCAGGGCTAAGAGATGCAACGAACTCCGGCGCTGAATCTGCAAACGGGCAATCACGCGAATAGCTGCTGAGCCCTAATTTGAAGCATCTGCAACAGATGCGTAGGTTCCAAAATACCAAGTTTTAAGTTAAGGGCTCCCAAAGGGTGGTATGCAATTAGCTACGTGTTAACTAACCACCTATAATAGGATTCCACAAACGTTTGCACCATAAATCTCAAACCCTAAACCCCGTAACCTAAAACCAATTGAGCTCGGGATCCCGGACCTTAAAAGCTGAACACTAAACTTGGAAGCAAAAAGCGGGGGGGGGGGGAACACCGTGCCGGAGATTCAGGTGGCACCGCATGGGTCGAGTGTGAGCTGGAGCAAAACGTGGGTGCGCTCGAGGCGTTTGCTCCGGCAAGCGGACAAGCAGATGGGCAGGTACGCAAGCACGCAAGTCAGCAAGAGTTCCTACTGTTATCGCAACTCTGCCCCTCGTCAAGGTCATGTTTCCATATTCTGTTTTGCTTTCTAGTGCTCAAAGCTGCTAATACCATCAAGTACCCATTCTTCAGAATTCTTGCATTTTCGCCTTCGACTATAGTACGACTACTGTATGTGTCATTTGTACTGTGCAGCTGCTGCGAGATGATTGAACCACAAACACAGACCATCAGCAGAAGAACTACGTTTCGTGTTTAGGACTAAGGATGGAGGACTGAGGGTTTAGGACCGTCCTCACACTTGTAGGGTCTATGGCTCAAAACTTTGCATCCCCCTAGCCACCTGACGAAGCAGATTTCGGGTTTTGAGTTCAACCTTTGGTGTTCAAGGTTTTAAGCTGAAAAATCTTCAGGGTTTTAGGACTGAAGCTTTAGGGCTGGGGCTTCAGGTGTTGAAAGGGTTTTGTGAGCCACAAGGTGCTGTTTAAGGGCTTCGGGTTCATGGCCTCCGGTTTTGGCAGGGTTTCAGTCTCAAGGTTCAATTAAAGTTGTTGTGAGGATTCTCTTCCGCTAAAAATGAAAGGCTTAGTAATCAATTAGTAGAGTTCACGCTTTGGGACTGGGGTTAGGGGCTACACTTGTGGATCTGACAACCATTTTTCAGGCTTCATGATTTAGGGTTTAGAGCTAAAGGCTTGCGGCTTGGTAAGCTGAACAGGGTTGACTTAGGGTTTGGGTTTCAGGTTTAGGGCTTAGGAATGAATGCCTGCACACCTAGGGTTTGGTAGGCAGAGGGTGCCTCTGAAGGCCTCAGAAGAGGACCTTTCAGTCGCAAAGGCCCCCAGAAACCTCTCCAACCATCTGCCTGCCAGGGGCCTTTCGGGGGCCTCCTACGGGACCTTCTAGGAACCTACTTCAGGTTTACGATCTCCTCTCAGGGGTGACATTTCAAAGTTGTCTTTCAACCCCTCGGAATCTTCGCAAACTGTGGTTTGAAGTTCATGGTCTCTAGGTTCACGGATAGTTTCCTTCAGGTTTGGAGGTTAATGTTCGCAGAGATTTTGCCACACATACAAACCGCAAATGCGGTTACCACTGTGCAAACGCACTCGAAACAAATCGTTCTTGCAGTTTGCAACAAGCTTCAGAAACCCAGTCGAACAGTGACTACTTTCGCTCGAAATTGCATCTGGCATCTCATTCTCTGCTGAGGGAGGCCTTTATCGCCGTAAGACCATCCAAGGCTGAGCAGGGTTTACTATTTGCTGGGTCTGGGTTTAGTACTTACTACAGTAGAGCTTAGTCGGGTGTAGTGGACACGCCAAGAACAAAAGGCCACTGCCGGCGAGAAGTCTGTGCAGATTTGAGAACCCTTCACGGCTTGGGGTATGTATGCTGACACCGAAACTCGTATTTTGCCCAGAAAAAACAGTGCTGGCCTAAACCCCTTCGGCGCCCAAGGATTGCAAAGCGTACAGCCTGTCAAGGTTGCCGTGCATGACCATTGAGTTCCTCCCCTTTCTTTACGTGACTGGGTGTGACGGGTTTCTCCCCGCAAAATCGCATTTCTTGCGTGGTCTCCCGAAACCTCAAACACCAATGAGCTTTTCTCTTTCATACCAATCAGCTCTTCTTCTCTTTCTATGTGCGGCGCACAGTCCCTCTGTCTCCCTCACATATCTCACCCAACTTGGCTCTGCACAGCCCGTGCCCGTTCTTGTCATCGCCCGTCTCCTTCATGCATGCCGGTGTCCGGTAAAATTGTCAGAGCTGCAGTCTTGCGAGAAATTCTGGTCAACGGTTAAAAGAGCACAGAGCCGGCTATGTGTGAGGTTGTGCAGAAGTCCTTGCGTCCACCTGCATGCATGTGTTTGCGAGTCTTGCAGCTAGCAGCGACCGCATCATGGAAAGTCACAGAGCCGCATTCCTTCTGCTGAAGCCCTGGTCGCTAATGCTATTTAACTGGATTCTCGGAGCCCAGCCCGTGGTTGCAGGATGGTCTCCGTTGGGCTTCCAAGGCACCTTGCATTTTCACTCTTGATCGGAAACTAGCCAACAAGCCAGGATGTAGTAATCGGAGTACTGGTCGAACATCTAAACTGAGGGTAAAGAGCATGACAACATTCAGAAGAATTAATTTACAGCAGTTCACCATTTTTTGCGTTGTGCTGTGAACTGTGGCCCTAACGCCTCGACGCGGAGGACTGGACCTGTGGCAGGCGAGTTCCTCCCCCTTCAGAGGTGGACCCTTCGTGTTCAGAGCTGCTTCTCCTGGTTCTTTGCTGGACTTGCTCTAGAAGGGCCAAACGGCTCCTGGAATTCAGAGAAAGAACTTGCCCAAAGCAAAGTCAAGAAAGTAGGCATCACCAAGTGCCCAAGCTGATATACTAGTTCACCAGCACCACCGTTTCATTCATCAAGTACTGTGAAATGTAGACTATGTAGACTTAGCTTTCACACGAGCTGTGTAACAGAAATTCCCACCATCTCCCACCACCAAGTTGTCCTGAGATTGCGACACAGCACCTCCCTCTGGCAAGGGTCGCAGCTGAATGTCTGCAGCCTCAAAGAAAAGCCAGTCTCACACTGAAAACACCACTTCCTTCAAGAAGAAAGCGAGATTCGAACCACCGGAGCTTCTCTTCGCGACAAACCATCGCGCACCTTTTCAGGTCCATACTCAGCTTCAGCAAGCTGAGCTCAACCATGTTCCTACGCATGCCTGCATGATAGTACATTATGCATATGCATGGATGAATCACGCCTTCTTCAAAGCAGTCTCGCCTACCTGACGAGCCGTGCTTGTGAAGTCGGACTTGGGAGCAATGCAGCAATGCCAATATGCAAATGTAATTGCAAGGGATCTCAGATCCGCTGGCCCTGGTCTGATCGGACATGCGTGCAGTGAAGCCTTCCTTCTGTTCTCACTATTCAACAAAATTCGCGTTCCAGCATGCCCCAAGGCCTTGAACCCCACAGACCACCTCACATGATCCTACCTGCTGGACGATCATGTAGGTTCCCCCTTAGTTGAAGTTATTCAGGGATGATTAGGCCTAATTGAAGTTAATTAAAGAGGAACCTAGGAAAGGTAGTGTAGAGGGGCCAGCCTCCTTCGTTTCTAGACCATCGCCTAGGCGCCCAGACTCGGCAGTTTTTGAGGGTTCCGAGCTATCAAACTGAGGTTGCCCAGGCCCAGGCTCCTAAGTCTCTACTTGCTCTCGAATTCTCCACGAGGTCTCCTGCTTCTTCCTCTATGCTCCACGACCTGCCTCGCTAAAGCGACACTTCTTTACTCTGCATCATTGAACATCCGTTTCTCCAGCCGGCCCGTCTTGGTCCCAGGAAAGCGACCTCAACATTTATTTCTACATGTTTAGTGAAGCTTCCCCCCAGCCACAAGGACGCATTTTCTAGGACTTTTGGCATCCCCAGATCCCCACGATGGCCCAACAAACCGTCATAAGCACCAGCTTCTATGTAAACCCGCTCCAAAACCCATACTGGGTCCAAGCTCAAGATGAAAGTGAGGTCAAGGGGTGCAGGAAGATCTAGCGATGGAGAAGCGCACCCACAAAGATGAGCATTATCTGCATCATTGGGAGGCTTTCACACTGGGTCTGTGCACGCTTTGCTAGGTGTCATCTGCACAAGGACTAGTAATAGCCTCACGGAGGCGATCACGGCTTTTATGCGGTGTTTCAGATTGTTTCATGCGGTATGGTTTCAGAAGGTTTGTTAACGGGCACCTAGGTTTATGGTGGTGTTATGCAAGTCTCATGGGGTGTCGAGGATGGTTCGAGGATCTAGCGGGCACGATGATTTCATTCCTGCATGATGATTCTATGGATTCGTGGGGTTGTAGATGGTTTCTTGCAGGATCTATGACGGTGTTGCTAATGAGTTTACGGAGTTTAGACCAGTCTAAGCATGGTCTTGTAATTTAAGCCGCTTCGAAAACATGGTAGTGAGTCCACACAAAAGACATTGGAAAGTGTGTATCCGAGGACCAATCCGTCTGGGATCCGAATTGTGCCGACGGCGCTTCTGTCTGCGGCATGCTCGCACGACAGAAGCATCAACAGCAGAATTAGCTTCGTTTTTGCGGGTTCCAGTGCGGCTCTAGAGCATGTGGCAATCCGAGGGCGTTCTTGTGGGCGTGTTGTTGGCGTCTACTGCTTTGCTACCCTACCTCCCACTTCTGCTGCCCTTGCTCAGGCGGCAGGGACAGTCCGCACCGTAATTAACAATCCGCCCTGCCGCTATGGGCCAAAGATGCAGAGCTACAGTACTTCATGTTAAGTCTGTCGACTGCCTGTTGACATGGGCCCAGCCCTGCTGCGTTCCTTCTTTCCAATGCTGAAAGAGAAGCACTTGCTGCACTACCTGGAGGCAGCTCCCCGGTGTCTCGGGAATAAGATGTTGTTCAACCGGTTGCCCAAACAGCATGTCATGTTCATAAGCTCTCTGCTTGAAGCATTTCTTTGTCAGTGCAATGGGGCTTTCGCGTGCGCAACATATGCCTTTACCACGGCACCCCATTAGTCCAAAGCGCCCCATAAGTCCAAGAGTTTGAGGGGTTGCCCTGTTAGTCCAAGGTTTTTGAGGAGTTCAGATGAAAATCTTGAGTCGCCCATTAGTCCAAAATGCGCCGCATGTGTCCAAGGGTTTGGGGCAGGGTAGTTCTGATTCCAATTGGGATGGCACCAAGTGAAGGCCATAGGGTGCACGTAGACGCTCTTGCTCCTCTGCCCCAGGAAACTACTGGGTTGCTGTTAAGGAACTTAAATTAAGTTACTATATTGGGAAAACCCTATTATTTACTAAATATACCCATTATGGTAACTT